TTCAGTTGGCAAATTGCTGCTAATTTTATGCCTCAAGAATTAATGAAATTCTTTGCTACTGCCGCTATTATCATCACTGTTATTATTATGATTATTATTATTATGGATGTTATTATATTATTATTACTATTTATTATTATTGTTATTGTCATTATTGTTGTCACTGTTATTATTATGCGTTTTTGCTATGCAGCACTATAGTGTTGCTACAGCCAGCAGAAACGCATACTGCCGAGAGGCTGTCTGTGTGTGTGTTCGGAAAGCGAGTGCATTTTGTCACCCACTTTCATTTCAGCAACCAGGAAAGCTGGGAGGCTGAAACTTTGGATATATGTTCCCACCCCATGTGTTATCCTCCCGTTATAAGATCTTTCCCCATACGCGCCTAGACCTCGCGTACAGGATTCCCAAAGAAATATGTTGGCGGGAAACATTTCGCGAACCAGGCAACGTAGAAAGCTGAAACTTTGCAGGTATATTCTCTATGCACATGCGAGATAAAAATTTTAAACTCAGCTCTCTAACTCCCCAACCACAGCCTCAAGCAGCTCCTCAACCCAAAAATCGTCAACAACTCGGACCTGAACCGCAATTGCATATGCAAATGAACGTGGATTTTTTGAAAAACGACCGTTCGGGCAATACTTTCAATTTTTAATGGACTGGAAATTTGCGTGTTTTCAAAAAATCGTTCGTAGCTCGGAACTTAACCACAATCGTATATGTAAATGAGCGTGGATTTTTTGATAAACGACCGCTCGAGCAATACTTCCACTTTCTAGTGAACTGGGAATTTGCATTTGTCATTTTTTCACAGAGCGAGCATTCACCGGAAAAACGTTCGGACTTCATGCAAAAAACCGATAATTATGCACTTGGATGTCCGTGCGGCTCTATATAATGCACCACCTTCATCCAAACTGACGCCCTTCCTCCTGCATGCCGGGAGGGGCCAAAGCACGCCAATATGGGCCCAAATGTTAGGCTACAGCGTAGGGATTATCCTTGCTAACAGCGGTCTGCGAGTTTAGTGCAAAAACGCATGATCGCACCAGAGAGCCTGGTGCCTTCTAGCCTAGGTTATTGTTACTATCACTATCATTATTATTGTTATTAATCTTTTTACCACTGTTAATTCGGTTATCCAGGCTTCCTAACAGCAAGGCATATATCATTAAAGAATTTGGTGCCGATCTCAACAATTCGCTAACAGTAAGTATTGTACTTTTCGTATTATTTCAGGACTTAATTAAGGACAAAGAACAAACCTGACGCTGCAACAGTTCGCAGAATTTTGCTGGGAATTAACAGCGAAGGAATGCAGATTTCTTGCTTTTTAAAGTACCGCTCACATGCATAATTCATAGAGCAAGGAGCATGAACGCGCAATGTGCCGACAGTAATCAGTCACTTGTTCGCGAAAAAAATTTTTCACCCAAAATTTTGTAATCACAAAAAACACGATCTGTGGCGCCAGAATGGTAAGTTTTGGAACAAATTCTTCAGTGGTATTGGTCGAACGGAGTGCCGCATTTCGCATCGTCCAGTCCCTGTCATTCGACAGCACCCAGCTTTACGTCGCGTGGACACTGTCTGGCTTCAAGTTATGTAGAGAGTATTTGGGTTAACTTTATACAGACAGAATCGGGCGTTCAACCCCTGCCTGCCTTTCTTCTCTTGCTTCTATTAACTTAGAATGCTCATAAGTGTGAATGGAATGCATGATTGTGGTGCATGGAATCAAACCAGCCGATGAGGTGAGTTCCAAAATCCATGATAAATCGCTGCATGGACTGATAGCACCAGTATAGCTGCTAACAAAGAACGCACAAACACTTGCAAAACGATCC